ATTGTTAATTGCTTAATTAAGAGCTTGTTTGATACATCGGAAAATTACTAACTAGCTAAAAATTGACTAAAATTAGCCTTTGTGTCCAAACAAGAGGGCTAATAGATAAGCTATTTTTTATAAGTCTTCTTCAACTTGTTGTTAGCCAACTAGCTAACGAAACTCAGTTAATTTAAACTAGTTTTTAGCTCAACTAATAATTAGCCCGGACTCATCCAAACATGCCTTAAATACTGCATACTATAATTATGTATGATGTCCATACATTCATGTCCACGTGCAGGCTGACGACGGTCTTTTACGTCAAGGCCACCAACAGTGCTGGGTACGGGGCATTCATGGTAGTGTTCGACAAGAATATCAACGCCACCACGAAGGCGACCTTCGACAAGTGGATTAACCTACTGGCTAAACGTGTTTGTGAAGGACACGAAGGCAGAGAACCAGGTCACTCTCACGATACGCTCCGACAATCTGTACCTCTGTGGTTTCAAGAACAATCAAGGAAAGTGGTTTACCTTCAAAGGCTACCAGTGGCAGATCCAGGATAAAAAAAAATTAGGGGGCTCCTGCCATTGTCTTCAACCTCAAGTCTCTCCTAACCTTCTCCTATGGCTAAAATTTTAAGAGGAGGCTGAGAGGGGCTCCATGGGCCGCGGTAGGGGGCTCGTGCCCCTAGCCCCAATGGCAGATCCGCCCCTACCTAGGATAGGAAGCGACATGCTCCACTACATATATGTATGTATCCAGTTGTGGTGCGGTGCCGGTGCAGGATGTGAGGACAACACTTACGTATGAAAAACCAGTGGAATGTAGTTATTGATATAAATATCAAGCACATACCCCACCCAACGTACTACATGTATCAAAAACAGAACACTATCAAAACACACACGACTCATGAATACAAGAAAAAATAGAAAAAAATATCTATCCAGTTTGCAGCTCCATCAAGTAGTCATGTTCTAAGACTTCTCCTTATTAAAGTTAATCCCTAACGATACGGTTTCTTCATTAATTAGCGATGAGATAGAAAATATGTATTTAAAATGTAAGAGCAACTCCAAAGAGTCCATCTAATCTAAAAATAATAAAAGATGCTAAATTACATGATTTAGCCACTATCTACATTAGAAGAAGAAAAAACTCATCTTAAAAGTAAAATATATACTCCAACAGACTATCTAAAATTTTCCTTCTTCGATCCATAATTAAAACTGTACTCTCGTCATCGTATTTTCTACTAATAGAATCAATCGCATTGCATCTACCGTCCAGTCACATGGCACCGACTCTCCCCATATATAATCATCGCATGGCTGCTGTGTAACCTGTTGCTAGAGTCCGTGTCACTAAATATTGTGAAAGAAACACCTATGTCATACTAGCGCTTTCTTCAAACCGTTGGTTTTTGGGTTTAAGTCCGGCATGCATATAATTGTTGTGAGAGAAAAACATTATACCATGGTCCGATAAGCCTTACCAAACCTACACCTGGCCATACTAGTACCTTTTGAGGACGTTTCAGTGTGTATGCAAATTTGTTTTGTAGCCGGCTGGCTTCAATAGGGACTCTCGCCACGTTGTGGACTCTCGCTCGGTCGAAGGAAAAAAGACAAAGGAGGAAAAGCGCAGGAGGGGCGGATCCTGGATAAAAGTTTTGGAAGAGTTTAAAATAGGTCCAATAAGACAAGAACGAACATATTTTCCTCTTTCTACCATCGTCTTCAACCTTCAACCCATCCTAACCTTACTCTCATGGCTAAAATTTCAAAGGGTACCGAGGAGGGCTCCATAGACACAGTCGCGGTAGGGGGGGGCTTGAGCCCCAGCCTTGGTGGCAGATCTGCCCAGGAAGGCTACGACAAATCTTCCCTCGTCGCTCTACGCAGCTCGGATACGGCAGCAGATACCCGGACCTGTTCAAAGATGTGGGCTACACCGGCATGGGCCGGATCGGGGTCAACAAAGCCCAGGCAATTTAGCACATGGTTACCTAGCCTCCTACAGAGCCAGCGTCGGCCCGGACGACGCGCTCAAGGTGCCTCTCGCTTGGAAAAAGTCCACATTATCTCCATCAACTTTTACGAAAGTCTGTTTTTCCTCCCTCAACTCTAAAACCGTATAAACCACCTCTCTAAACTTTTAAAACTGTTTGTTTTACCTCCTAACAGGTTATAAGTTGTTTTCAAATGCGGTTTTATCTTTTTCTTTTTTATTTATTTTGGCTGAATCTTTTAAAAATCATACTAAATCACAAAAAAATTGTAAAATAGAAAATCTAATTTTGTTGGACTCCACATGAGTAGATCTACACAATGAACATATAATATGTTATGCTTTAGTACAATTTTTTTTTGTTGTAGCTTTAGATTTATGTTTTTCTATAATTAATTTATAGTTGCAGTTTATATGGTCCAATTGTGGTGAAAATTTTATGGTGGGCTAATTATTGTATTCTTGAACTATAGTGAAAATTTTATACTCATTGGATCATGTATAATTTAGTTATAGGTTTACTTAGGTGTATGCTTGTTAAAAAGTATTTGTAAATCTATAACTAAGTTATACAAGATCCAACATACACCTAAGTAAATCTATAACTAAATTATACATGATCCAATGAGTATAAAATTTTTACTACAATTAAAGCATATAATAATTAGCTCACCATAAAAATTTCACCACAATTGGACCATAAAAACCGCAACTATGAATTAATTACAGAAAAGCATAGATCTAAATCTACAGCAAAAAAATTGTACTAAAGCATACCATATTATATGTTCACTGTGGAAATCTACTCATTTGGAGTCCAACAAAATTAAATTTTCTATTTTATGATTTTTTGTGATTTACTATGATTTTTCAAAGATTCAGTCAAAATAAATAAAAAAGAAAAAGACAAAACCTTCTTTGAAAACCGCTTATAACCGGTTAGGGAGGTAAAACAAATGGTTTTAAAAGTTTAGAGAGGTGGTTTATCCAATTTTAGAGTTCAGAGAAGAAAAATAGACTTTCACAAAAATTAAGAGAGGTAATGTGGACTTTTTGCTCCATAAAAACAGCAGTATCTCAGGCATGGGATTCTCGAGCCCCGCGGACGGTCCAGGCCGGCGCCATGTCCAATGGGCCAGGACCTCATGCGCCCTCCTCGCATGGGACAAGTACGGCCGCAGCGACCGAACCTGGCGCGATCAAGGTTCGTTCGCATCAAGAGCCCAGACCAGGCCCTCTCCATCATCAACGCTCTGCTGATGGGCCGACAATGCTACATGACACACTGATCTCTCTGTGGCCTGTGAGGTTGTGACGTGCTGTGTGAATGACCAGCGGCTGAGTTAATAATTAAATAAAATCATTAAAGAGCCCATTTATGTTTCTGTGATAGTGTGATGTAATCCGGCCATGAGTGACTTATTAGACTTGGTGCTATGACTTGACAAGTATGATGATGTCTTGCTGTTTGTTTCGTCACATAACATTGGTGGTAATTATTTTCATGCTTAGTATTTAATTATCTGGCCTCGGATGTCCCATCAATCAGAGAGAGAACAGAAAACTAAAAACTTTACTCTGCGCTGTCAAAGTTCGCTGTTAAAGGACTTCAAAAATACTGTTCCGCTTTATTGTTGTGAGAGAAAAATCCAGGCCCCAAGCCAGCCCACGCTCCAAGCCTTGAAGGATTAGCCTACGCACGCAACTGAAACTTCTGCGAGAAATGAGCTAACGAGTTTAACCATTTCATTTCAGTCGGCAGGCATTCATCACAGATTGATTCGTCTTGTTTAAACTTAATTTTTTTGTTTAACCATTTCAGTCGAATTTTTGGTTTAACCATTTCAGTCGAGAGGCATTCATCACCCCTGGGCCCTGGCTGGTAGCAACATACTATTCGGTTTAAACTTAAATTTACACCAAAGAAAAAAAATTGGCATGGCTTCTTGATGTCCATAGACCATAGATAATAGATTGATTCGTCTTGTTTGACACCTGCAAATTCCACAACGGCTCAGGTAAGCAACAACTCTGACACTGTTGATTCCTTATAGTTGTTTTACTTTTCTTCTTCTTCTTTACTCCTTGCCGGCAATAGAGATTATTGTGTTGGAAGCGTTATGGATTATCATAACAACTAAACCAATACAAACTGACATAAAGCAGAAAACATATTAACATATACTACGTAGACAAAGAATCAGCCAGTTGCTAAATCTGCAAACAATTTTCATCCATAAGTGACACAAGCAAAATGTTTATCGTGTTACAAAAGTTGTGGGAAAGCACCATTTGAACATTGAGCAATTATTAGTGTGCCAAGTAGGGATGGAATCATGCAGGGTGCCTGCAAGCACCCACCAATGTACGGTTTGGGGATTTTCTTAGCCAGTATGGTTGAGATTTCTACCTAAACAACAATGGCCTGGGGAGGTCATTCCCCTAGCTAGTCAAGTTTTTTTAGTGTTAGACAGTAGGATTTTGGTGAGGTGCAAAAAACTTTAGAGAAGGGTCATGACTCACAGCATGCATAGGGAGGGGATACAGGGTTCAGCAGTGGGTACGTGGTGGATCTGTGCCTAAGTGTCGAATACAGAGGTCCCAACATGTCAATTTCATTAATCATTGGGGAAGATGGGAATACTTTGTGCTGGAACAATCATTTCGATTTGCAAGATGGACACAATTTCTGCCTCAGAAAAGCACCTCACAACTTCCTAATAGCATACAATCAACTTATTTATTATTTGAACTAGAACTCAAGGATTTTGATGTCAATTCGCCGCTTAAGAAGCAGCACAGGAACTAAAATAAGAATAAAGAATTCCTGGCCTTTATTCAGTGTTACCTGGATTTGAATTAGGGCATATCTTACTCTAATGACTTGAGGAAGTAAAACAACAACTGTTTGCAGGATTAAACAAATGTATTGGTGAATTTCCCAACCAGTTCACTATATACTGGTAATGAAAACAAAGGAACGATGGAGTAGGAGTGTAGTACTAGCCTCTTGCTCTTCGCACTGAACCATATGAGCCTAATATGTACTTTCCGAATACTAGCCCTTTGTTCCCGAATACTAGCCCTTTGTTCCTACAAGCACATAACGCAAAGCAGATTAGCTAGTACAAAAAATGAATAATTATGCAAAACGGTGTAGAGAAATGGGGGTGCGGATGGATACCATCGAATGCGAATACAGCAGCTGAAGATAAGGTGGATGAGGCTACAAGGACCTACAGGTGCAGGACCATACAGGCTGCAATCGTCGGTTGCTGGTGACCAGGTGCCACCAGTGAGCTGTTGGTGCACAAGATTGTGTTGCCTTGGTTCAAAACAGACGACACTGTCACCCAAAGGGGTAGGCAACGCTTTAGGGGCAACACTCAAGTTCCTTTCTGAAATGAACAAGGTATTGCCTCCGATGCTTGTTATCGGGATATACCTTCGCTGGATAAGATCCGTGAGCTTGAAAACTACAAAGTGAAGCATGTCGAAATCTTTGTAGCCAACCACCAGGATTTCTGAATCACATTCTACGAGACCCATAGGAACATCGAGGTTGCCTTCTGGGAGTGTGGCAATCAACTTTGGCAGCTGTAGCTTAGAACCGGAGCCCATCCCACCATTCACAGGTGGATCAATCTGGAAAACCTGGACATCGCCATATGATTCCTATTCGCCAGTAAATTCCGATACGCCAGATAATGCGACGTCACAAGCCGTGTACAGTTTGCCTTGGAATGACAATGGTGGAGGAGATGCATATTGGTACATCCAGGTTGACACAGTCCATTGCTGGTCCAGGGCCGTAGCCAAGGCTACATGGTTTACCTCATGAAGAGCAAGCATAACGGTGATGACCCCACCGCTGAAGGAAGCAGAAGCACAGATTGACTCCGCGAGCCTTTTGACCCTGTGTGGCGCGGGTAAGGTATCCAGCAGTGTGCCTAGCTGCGGGAGGACGGTCGCGAGCGGTGGGAGCTCAGCGATGTCGCCAGTGAAAGGGTGGACGAGGCGGACGGCGCTGTCCTGGTCCCGTAGCAGGACGAGGAGGCCGTCGACCGAATCGACGACGCAGTGGTCGCTGAGGACAACGGTCCCCGTGTCGAGGTTGAGGAAGCGGATGTACCCGCGCAGGTGAGGGTGGCCGGGGTGAAGGCCGTGGCCCTCCGGAAGCATCATCCAGCGGCGCGGGTGGAACCGCGGGTCGACGACGCCGCGACCGCGAGGGGAGGCGGTGGCGGACCGCCAGCCGCCGCATACGGCCCGGAAGCGGACGTAGTCCAGCAGGTCGCCGGCGAGCACGCGCGACGAGACGAGGCGGATCAGATCCTCGGGCAGTGAGGCCCAGCGCTCGGCAACCGGGGTGTCGTTGGACCCCGGTGCCGGAGGTGGCATCCTGAACCCAGCCCTCACTTGCCGATCCGATTGGCAATGAAGCGGCGCGGCGCGGCTGATTCCGGTCACACCCCGCACCTCGAGGACGCGCGGCGATGGGAGGCGAGGGGAGTGAAGAGGCGGCGGCGACGCCGCGATCTTACGGCGGCCGTGTCGAATCGGTGGGTGGGAAAGCGAAATGCACGGAAGAGTGGAAGTGGACACGCGTTTAGCTGCGTCCTGCCGTCACCGTTTGCTGACTCGCAGATGATTAAAGAGTGGTGATTGTGATGATAGTTAGTATGTGATTCTTTAATTAGTTCTTGTATGGAGTAGAGTAGAGTTTTTTCAATAGGGCTACCAATTTCTATTTTGATGAGCAAATCCATGTGACACCTACCTATCCATTGTTTGGAGTTGGAGTTACAATTGTTGTTCATGATTAAGCCTCTATTTTTTTTTTGAATTAGTCTCTCTATTTTTATGTGGCATGAAGTAGAATAATTGTTGTTCAAGAGGGGGCTATCAATTTCAGTTTTGGTGAGCACATCCACGTGACATTTAGTGACCCATTATTTTGAGCTACAATTTTTAAGGTTTCAATTTTAATTTTCCTATAATTAGTCCGTCTCCCTATTTTTATGTGGCATTAAATGTAGAATAACTGTTCTTCAAAAGGGGTGACCAATTTCAGTTTGTATGAGCACATCCATGTGACACCTAGCAACCTATTATTTTGAGCTACAGTTGTTGTTCATCAATGCTCCGATTTTTATTTTTCTATAATTATTCTCCCTATTTTTATGTGGCATGAAGTAAAAAAAATTAGAAATAGATCAAGTGTGGATGTATGGTTTGGCATCTACGCACCTGCGATACTTGATAAGCATCATCACATTCATCACGGCCGCCAGAGCCGATGCACCGGTGACAACGTGTAAGCGATCAAGAGCTAGCTCAACTTAACTAAAGACTATAGCTAGCTAGCTAGAGTGAGTGAGTGAGTACAATTGTTAAATCGCTTAATTAAGAGCTTGTTTGATACATCACCAAATTACTAGCTAGCTAAAAATTGACTAAAATTAGCCCTTGTGTCCAAACAAGAGGGCTAATAGATAAGCTATTTTTTATAAGTCTTCTTCAACTTGTTGTTAGCCAACTAGCTAACGAAACTCAGTTAATTTAAACTAGGTTTTAGCTCAACTGATAACTAGCCCTGACTCATCCAAACATGCCCTAAATACTGCATACTATAATTATGTATGATGTTCATACATTCATGTCCACGTGCAGGCTGACGACTGCCTTTTACGTCAAGGCCACCAACAGTGCCGGGTACGGGGCCTTCATGGTTCGACAAGAACATAACGCCACCACGAAGGCGACCTTCGGCAAGTGGATCAACCTACTGGCTAAACGTGTTCGTGAAGGACACAAAGGTGGAGAACCAGGTCACTCTCACGATACGCTCCGACAATCTGTACCTCTGTGGTTTCAAGAACAATCACGGCAAGTGGTTTACCTTCAAAGGCTACCAGTGGCGGATCCAGGATAAAAAATTTAGGGGGCGCCTACCATTGTCTTCGACCTCAAATCTCTCCTAACCTTCTCCTATGGCTAAAATTTTAAGAGGAGGCTGAGAGGGGCTCCATGGGCCGCGGTAGGGGGGCTCGTGCCCCCAGCCCCAGTGGCAGATCCGCCCCTACCTAGGATGGGAAGCGACAAGCTCCACTACATATATATGTATCCAGTTGTGGTGCAGTGCCGGTGCAGGATGTGAGGACAACACGTACGTATGAAAAACCAGTGGAATGTAGTTATCGATATAAATATCAAGCACATACCCCACCCAACGTACTACATGTATCAAAAAACAGAACACTATGGCCCTGTTCGTTTATCTTATAATTCGTTTTTTTCAGCTTGTTTTTTCAGCCGGAATAGTATTTTTATCTCACAACAAATCAGCTGGAACAATGTTTCGGCTTGTTTTTTCAGCGAAGCGAACGGAGCCTATAAAAAACACACCACTCATGAATACAAGAAAAAATAGAAAAAAAATATCTATCCAGTTTGCAGCTCCATCGAGTAGTCATGTTCTAAGATTTCTCCTTATTAAAGTTAATCCCTAACGATACGGTTTCTTCATTAATTAGCGATGAGATAGAAAATATGTATTTAAAATGTAAGAGCAACTCCAAAGAGTCCATCTAATCTAAAAATAATAAAAGATGCTAAATTACATGATTTAGCCACTATCTACATTAGAAGAAGAAAAACTCATCTTAAAAGTAAAATATATACTCCAACAGAATCTAAAATTTTCCTTCTTCGATCCATAATTAAAACTGTACTCTCGTCATCGTATTTTCAATCAATCGCATTGCATCTACCGCCCAGTCACATGGCACCGAGTCTTCCCATATATAATCATCGCATGGCGCCTGTGTAACCTGTTGCTAGAGTCCGTGTCACTACACACCAAGGATACACCTGGCCATACTAGTACCTTTTGAGGACGTTTCAGTGTGTATGAAAATTGGTTGTAGCCGGCTGGCTTCAATAGGGACTCTCGCCAGGTCACGTTGTGCGGTGCTAGAGCGCAGCGCTCGGACTCGGAAGGAAAAAAGACAAAAGGAAAAGCGCAGGAGGGACGGATCCAGCATAAAAGTTTTGGAGGAGCTTAAAATAGGTCCAATAAGACAAGAACGAACGTATTTTCCTCTTTCTACCATCATCTTCAACCTCCAACCCATCCTAACCTTGCTCTCATGGCTAAAATTTCAAAGGGTACCGAGGAGGGCTCCATAGGCACAGCCAGCGGTAGGGGGGGGCCTTGAGCCCCTAGCCTCGATGGCAGATTTGCCCACGAGGCTACGACAGATCTTCCCTCGTCGCTCTCACGTGGCTCGGATACTGTGGCGGTACCCTGACCTGTTCAAAGATGTGGGCTACACCGCATGGGCCGGATTGGGGTCAACAAAGCCTAGGCAGTTTAGCACCTGGTTACCTGGCCTCCTCAGAGCCAGCGTCGGCCCGACGACGCGCTCAAAGGTGCCTCTCGCTTGGAAAAAGTTCACGTTATCTCCTCAACTTTTATGAAAGTCTACTTTTCTCCCTTAACTCTAAAACCGTGTAAATCACCTCCCTAAACTTTTAAAACCGTTTGTTTTAACTCCTGATAGGTTATAAGCGGTTTTCAAATGCGGTTTTGTCTTATTTATTTATTTATTTTGGCTGAATTTTTAAAAATCATACTAAATCACGTAAAAATCATAAAATAGAAAATCTAATTTTGTTGGACTCCACATGAGTAAATCTACACACAGTGAATATATAATATGTTATGCTTTAGTACAATTTTTTTTGTTGTAGCTTTAGATCTATGTTTTTCTATAATTAATTCATAGTTGCGCTTTATGATCTAATTGTGGTGAAAATTTTATGGTGGGCTAATTATTGTATTCTTGAACTATAGTGAAAAATTTATACTTATTGGATCATGTATAATTTAGTTATAGATTTACCTAGGTGTATGCCTGTTAAAAAGTATTTGTAAATCTATAACTAAGTTATACAAGATCCAAATACACCTAAGTAAATTTATAACTGTTATACATGATCCAATGAGTATGAAATTTTACTACAATTCAAACACACAATAATTAGCTCACCAAAAAATTTCACCACAATTGGACCATAGAAACCGCAACTATGAATTAATTACAAAAAAGCATAGATCTAAATCTACAGAAAAAAATTGTACTAAAACATATCATATTATATGTTCACTGTGTAGATCTACTCATTTGGAGTCCAACAAAATTAAATTTTCTATTTTATGATTTTTCTGTGATTTACTATGATTTTTCAAAGATTCAAATAAATAAATAAAAATAAAAAAGACAAAACCGCCTTTAAAACCCGCTTATAACCGGTTAGAGGTAAAACAAACGGTTTTAAAAATTCAGAGAGGTGGTTTATCCGGTTTTAGAGTTTAGGAAAGAAAAATAGACTTTCACATAAGTTAAGAGAGGTAACGTGGAACTTTTTGCTCCATAAAACCAGCAGCATCTCAGGCATGGGATTCTCGAGCCCCGCGGACGGTCCAGGTCGGCGCCATCAAGTTGCTCGATGGGCCACCTCGCATGGGACAAGTACGGCCGCAGCGACCGAACCTGGCGCGATCAAGGTTCGTTCGCATCAAGAGCCCAGACCAGGCCCTCTCCATCATCAACGCTCTGCTGATGGGCCGACAATGTTCCATGACACACTGATCTCTCCGTGGCCTGTGAGGTTGTGACGTGCTGTGTGAATGACCAGCGGCTGAGTTAATAATTAAATAAAATCATTAAAGAGCCCATTTATGTCTCTGTGATAGTGTGATGTAATCCGGCCATGAGTGACTTATTAGACTTGGTGCTATGACTTGACAAGTATGATGATGTCTTGCTGTTTGTTTCGTCACATAACATTGGTGGTAATTATTTTCATGCTTAGTATTTAATTATCTGGCCTCGGATGTTCCATCAATCAGAGAGAGAACAGAAAACTAAAAACTTTACTCTGCGCTGTCAAAGTTCAGATTCCAGGCCCCAAGCCTTGAATGATTAGCCTACGCACGCAACTGAAACTTCTGCGAGAAATGAGCAAACGAGTTTAACCATTTCATTTCAGTCGACAGGCATTCATCACAAGATTGATTCGTCTTGTTTAAACTTAATTTTTTTGTTTAACCATTTCAGTCGAATTTTTGGTTTAACCATTTCAGTCGAGAGGCATTCATCACCCCTGGGCCCTGGCTGGTAGCAACATACTATTCGGTTTAAACTTAAATTTACACCAAAGAAAAAAAATTGGCATGGCTTCTTGATGTCCATAGACCATAGATAATAGATTGATTCGTCTTGTTTGACACCTGCAAATTCCACAACGGCTCAGGTAAGCAACAACTCTGACACTGTTGATTCCTTATAGTTGTTTTACTTTTCTTCTTCTTCTTTACTCCTTGCCGGCAATAGAGATTATTGTATTGGAAGCGTTATGGATTATAATAACAACTAAACCAATACAAACTGACATAAAGCAGAAAACATATTAACATATACTACGTAGACAAAGAATCAGCCAGTTGCTAAATCTGCAAACAATTTTCATCCATAAGTGACACAAGCAAAATGTTTATCGTGTTGCAAAAGTTGTGGGAAAGCACCATTTAAACATTGAGCAATTATTAGTGTGCCAAGTAAGGATGGAATCATGCAGGGTGCCTGCAAGCACCCACCAATGTACGGTTTGGGGATTTTCTTAGCCAGTATGGTTGAGATTTCTACCTAAACAACAATGGCCTGGGGAGGTCATTCCCCTAGCTAGTCAAGTTTTTTTAGTGTTAGACAGTAGGATTTTGGTGAGGTGCAAAAAGCTTTAGAGAAGGGTCATGACTCACGGCATGCATAGGGAGGGATACAGGGTTCAGCAGTGGGTACGTGGTGGATCTGTGCCTAAGTGTAGAATACAGAGGTCCCAACTTGTCAATTTCATTAATCATTGGGGAAGATGGGAATACTTTGTGCTGGAATAATCATTTCGATTTGCAAGATGGACACAATTTCTGCCTCAGAAAAGCACCTCACAACTTCCTAATAGCACACAATCAACTTATTTATTATTTGAACTAGAACTCAAGGATTTTGATGTCAATTTGCCGCTTAAGAAGCAGCACAGGAACTAAAATAAGAATAAAGAATTTCTGGCCTTTATTCAGTGTTACCTGGATTTGAATTAGGGCATATCTTACTCTAATGACTTGAGGAAGTAAAACAACAACTGTTTGCAGGATTAAACAAATGTATTGGTGAATTTCCCAACCAGTTCACTATATACTGGTAATGAAAACAAAGGAACGATGGAGTAGGAGTGTAGTACTAGCCTCTTGCTCTTCGCACTGAACCATATGAGCCTAATATGCACTTTCCGAATACTAGCCCTTTGTTCCTACAAGCACATAACGCAAAGCAGATTAGCTAGTACAAAAAATGAATAATTATGCAAAACGGTGTAGAGAAATGGGGGTGGGGATGGATACCATCGAATGCGAATACAGCAGCTGAAGAAAAGGTGGATGAGGCTACAAGGACCTACAGGTGCAGGACCATACAGGCTGCAATCGTCGGTTGGTGGTGACCAGGTGCCACCAGTGAGCTGTTGGTGCACAAGATTGTGTTGCCTTGGTTCAAAACAGACGACACTGTCACCCAAAGGGGTAGGCAACGCTTTAGGGGCAACACTCAAGTTCCTTTCTGAAATGAACAAGGTATTGCCTCCGATGCTTGTTATCGGGATATACCTTTGCTGGATAAGATCCGTGAGCTTGAAAACTACAAAGTGAAGCATGTCGAAATCTTTGTAGCCAACCACCAGGATTTCTGAATCACATTCTACGAGACCCATAGGAACATCGAGGTTGCCTTCTGGGAGTGTGGCAATCAACTTTGGCAGCTGTAGCTCAGAACCGAAGCCCATCCCATCATTCACAGGTGGATCAATCTGAAAAACCTGGACATCGCCATATGATTCCCATTCGCCGGTAAATTCCGATACGCCAGATAATGCGACGTCACAAACCGTGTACAGTTTGCCTTGGAATGACAATGGTGGAGGAGATGCATATTGGTACATCCAGGTTGACACAGTCCATTGCTGGTCCAGGGCCGTAGCAAAGGCTACATGGTTTACCTCATGAAGAGCAAGCATAACGGTGATGACCCCACCGCTGAAGGAAGCAGAAGCACAGATTGACTCCGCGAGCCTTTTGACCCTGTGTGGCGCGGGTAAGGTATCCAGCAGTGTGCCTAGCTGCGGGAGGACGGTCGCGAGCGGTGGGAGCTCAGCGATGTCGCCAGTGAAAGGGTGGACGAGGCGGACGGCGCTGTCCTGGTCCTGGTCCCGTAGCAGGACGAGGAGGCCGTCGACCGAATCGACGACGCAGTGGTCGCTGAGGAGAGGGAGGTGGGCGCGGACCAAGGTCCACGTGTCGAGGTTGAGGAAGCGGATGTACCCGCGCAGGTGAGGGTGGCCGGGGTGAAGGCCGTGGCCCTCCGGAAGCATCATCCAGCGGCGCGGGTGGAAGCGCGGGTCGACGACGCCGCGACCGCGAGGGGAGGTGGTGGCGGACCGCCAGCCGCCGCAGACGGCCCGGAAGCGGACGTAGTCCAGCAGGTCGCCGGCGAGCACGCGCGACGAGACGAGGCGGATCAGATCCTCGGGCAGTGAGGCCCAGCGCTCGGCAACGGGGGTGTCGTTGGACCCCGGTGCCGGAGGTGGCATCCTGAACCCAGCCCTCACTTGCCGATCCGATCGGCAATGAAGCGAGCGCGGCGCGGCTGATTCCGGTCACACCCCGCACCTCGAGGACGCGCGGCGATGGGAGGCGAGGGGAGTGAAGAGGCGGCGGCGACGCCGCGATCTTACGGCGGCCGTGTCGAATCGGTGGGTGGGAAAGCGAAATGCACGGAAGAGTGGAAGTGGACACGCGTGTAGCTGCGTCCTGCCGGTTGCTGACTCGCAGATGATGATGCATCAGATGAGATCCTAAAACCTCGCGTGCGAGTGGTCCAAATTGCATCTGAACATTTATTTTTAGGCCGTATCAAAAAAAAAGCCCAGTTCATTTAGGCCCTAAAATCTGCACCCAAGCTGTCTCATGGGTTGTCAGGCCAGGTCTGGGCTGGGCTAGAGCTCTCTGGTAATTTTTTTAGCACAGGGTTCGGGTTAGGTTATACGCCCATTTCCTTCGAGGTCTTGGATGGTTCCATTTCCATCGACCTCACTAAAGAATGTAATTAACATGATGTTTTTTAAAGATTGTTTGTCCTTTGTATGTTTATGAGCGGTATATGACTGCATGTCCACCTGCTACCATTGTCACGTAGGGAGCTATAAAACAATATTACTATGATGGATGAGGGATGAAGGATGCTTATTATTCTCACCATATTTTGTCCGCGTTGCTCTTCGTGACCGCTAAAACTTTAAAGCCTCTGATTTTATGTTTTTTTTCTTATGAAATGACAGCAATTTGATAAAATCGTATCAAATCTATGTAACTCGTAAAATTTCCATTTAATGGTACATTTCTAGCTAGTGATGGATGGTTAATCTCAAGTACAAATTTGTTTAGAATTTACATTTCTAGAGCTCTATGGTTTTAATCTCAAATACAAAGTTGCTCAGATTTATGTGAGAATTATTTCCCCTATCTCAATTGTGTAATCTTCACCTTCCTAAAGATGCCCGTAACACATAGAGACTGAACTCTCCGATTGCCTTTAAAACATCTTGATGGTTAATACACACGACATTTTAATTAAGATCATAAAGCTCATAACTAAGTGTGATCAATTGACCATTCATGCTACTATATCGCTATGTTTATTTGCATGGCCCTCTACCAAGCACAGAAGAATCTCTTTTTATCTTTGTACGCTAAACTAAGGACTAATTTGTGTTCCACACACTATCCAAATGCATGACACCAAGAAAGGCGTAAAGGCAAAGGCCGCTTCATTAAGCTCACCTGATTAAAAGCGGGCGTTTGGGATCAAAGCAAAAGAAAGTTTGAGAACTTCAAATGTAGTCACAAATCCATTGAGAAAACCAAAGCAAACAAAATTTTTTGAATCAAATTCATAATACACGCGTTTTTTTAATCAAATTCATATCGAACGTGCCGGCCTCGTGCCCTTCCCGTGCACCTCGACGGCACTAGCACGCGAAAGGCAAAGCCAGATCCAGAAGCATCCGAGCCGTTGGCTTTGCCGTTTTTAATCCTCTCTTGGAACACTCTAGAACCCCAGCCGATTTGGATTTAAACCCGGGTCTGGGTCGCGTCGCTTCTCATCATTTTCCCCTCGTGCGCTCTCTCGAACCTTCCAAAGCACCCCCCGAACCCTAGTGAGCTCGGAACCCTAGCCGCGCGCGGATCTCGGCTTGCTTGACCCCTCCTCCACGCCAGCCATGGACGAGGACTTCGAGATGCCCCCCGCCGGCGCCGACGAGATGATGGGCGACGACGAGATGGGCGACTTCGGCGGCGACGAGGGCCCGGTGTGGAAGGTGGGCGAGGAGAAGGAGGTCGGCAAGCAGGGGCTCAAGAAGAAGCTGCTCAAGGAGGGCGAGGGCTGGGAGACGCCCGAGGTCGGCGACGAGGTTGAAGGTATACGGTCACTGAGCATTCGCCCAGCTGAGTTAACTGATGGAATGGAATTTGGATTCTCTTGTGTCTTGTGTCAATTTATTGTCCCTTGATGATGCTGGATGATCTTTGAAGTACCTTCTCATCTTGTTGTGGAACATTTTTAAACTAGTGAACTCATCCTTACTTACCCATGATGATATTTCAGTGCATTACACGGGCACACTCCTTGACGGAACAAAGTTTGACTCAAGCCGCGATCGCGGAGATCCCTTCAAGTTCAAGCTTGGACAAGGTAAATTTGTACCTCCCCCTGAGGTTATTTCTTCTGTGTCTCATGTTTGGATTTTGGATATGGATTTGGAAGTAGCATTAACAATGTGACGGTAAAAACAGTTCAAAGTTACCAGTCTTTTGTTAGTTAGAGAAGTAGTTCTAATCAGTAATCACTTTGTCAGTTTTGTTCCATCAATATCATGGATATTGCCAAGAATCAGGACATTGAACTTTTACTGTATCTATGAAATTGTTGTGAAGTTAATGTTGAAGCTGGTCAGTGCTTGGTTATGGCTTCACTTTACCTTAAGGGAATTATCTTGTTGCTGTGTTTCTGTTAATCGCGAAACAATGCCTAGTTCCTGTGACCCTGTAGATTTGTATAGCTACAAGCGATGCTTACCTTGATATAAGGGCTATGATGTTTGAAGAAAAACATGCCAATGACTGAGTAAATTCTAGCTTGGAGATTATTCTTTTTCTCTATTGCCTGTTTGTTGACATTGCTAAGTGGGAAAATGAATGCTCAGTAGCTATTTTGAAAATGCCCAGGTCAAGTGATAAAGGGTTGGGATCAAGGCATCAAGACCATGAAGAAAGGAGAAAATGCTGTTTTTACCATTCCTCCAGAGCTGGCTTATGGAGCATCTGGTTCACCTCCAACTATTCCACCCAATGCAACCCTGCAGTTTGATGTCGAGCTGCTTTCATGGACCAGTGTCAAAGATATTTGCAAAGATGGCGGCATATTCAAGAAGATCCTTAAAGAGGGGGAGAAATGGGAGAACCCAAAGGATCCTGATGAAGTACTTGGTAATTTTTTTATTATTGGGACACTTTTCATAGATTGTTTTTTTGGGTTCGTATAGCTTATACTCTCATTATTGCTGTAGTGAAATATGAGGCCCGTCTCGAAGATGGTACTGTTGTATCCAAGTCTGAGGGGGTTGAGTTCACTGTAAAAGATGGTAATCCTCTTCACTTATGTTATGTCTTCACATGGCCTGCTGAAGATGTTTATGTCTATCGGTTGTTTTCTAACTAATGTATTGCCAGGGTACTTTTGTCCTGCCCTGGCCAAAGCTGTCAAGACCATGAAAAAGGCAGAGAAGGTGCTCCTTACAGTAAAGCCACAATGTGAGTTTCTGTTTCAAGTTTGATTATTATTCTGCAAGTTTTATGTTTAATTCTTATTAATTATGACATTTATTTGAACTTTCTAACTTCAATTGCAGATGGATTTGGTGAGAAAGGTAGACCAGCAGCTGGAGAGGAAGGTGATGTGCCACCAAATGCCACTCTGGTCATTGACCTTGAGTTGGTTTCATGGAAGACTGTCACAGAGATTGGTGATGATAAGAAAATCCTTAAGAAGGTTCTCAAGGAGGCCGAAGGTTATGAGCGTCCCAATGAGGGTGCCGTTGTTGAAGGTATGATCAAGTGGTCAAGTACTCAATTGTAATGATGCTGTTGCTTCTCAACTCCTTTCAGTTGATTAATTTATCTTGCATTGACTAGATTATGTTTACTGTTGGCAGTCAAAATTACCGGAAAGCTTCAGGATGGCACAGTGTTTACGAAGAAGGGGCATGATGAAGAGCCATTTAAATTCAAGACCGATGAAGGTAAGAACCAACCTTTTATCTTTCATGTCTGGGGCTCTTGGCCTTTCAGTTAAAATAATAATTCAGGAAATGGACTTCACCCTGTGATTCATTTAGAATAACATGTTTCTTTTGTATTATTATCTGTTTCCAGAGGAAGTTATTGATGGTCTTGATCGTGCTGTATTGAACATGAAGAAGGGTGAGGTTGCTCTTGTCACGATTCCTCCTGAATATGCATTTGGTTCAACTGAGTCAAAGCAGGATCTTGCTGTTGTTCCACCTAACAGCACGGTGGTCTATGAAGTTGAGCTTGTTTCATTTGTGAAGGTGCAGATGACTGATATTCTTCTTTGTCTGTTCTAAATCATTGACCTGTGTGCAATTGCAAAATTGATCAATATAATCTTGTCACACAGGACAAGGAGTCGTGGGACTTAAACAATGAAGAGAAGATTGAGGCTGCTGGTAAGAAGAAAGAGGAAGGGAATGCATTGTTCAAATTGGGCAAATATGCTAGAGCTTCCAAGCGATATGAGAAGGTACTTCATCTTTCTTTCTGTTCTGTAGTAACCCATACCATGAAAATGCAATTTTCAGTCCTGCAGGGTTGTTCCTACTTTGGCTGACTTTTGTTTTAATCCCAGGCTGCCAAGTACATCGAGCATGAAAGTTCATTCAGTGAAGATGAGAAGAAGCAATCCAAGCAACTGAAGATCAGCTGCAATTTAAACAATGCTGCCTGCAAACTGAAGTTGAAGGACTACAAGGAAGCTGCGAAGCTTTGCACCAAGGTACAATCTACTCCGACAACGGTCTGTTTAGTGGTGTGAATTGCGATGCAGTAAAGCAGGCTGACCTTGTGATTCCTTTTCAGGTTCTGGAGCTAGATAGCCAAAATGTCAAGGCTCTCTACAGGAGGGTGCAAGCGTACATTCAACTTGCTGACCTAGAGCTAGCAGAGGCCGATATCAAGAAGGCACTGGAAATCGATCCTAACAACAGGTACAGTCTAGGAAGGAAATGGATTCTGTAAGGTGTTTTGTTGCCATGACAATACTCTTAAATTTCACGCTGATCATTTTGGTACGAATCCCAGGGATGTGAAGTTGGAATATAAGACCCTGAAGGAGAAGATTAAGGAGTACAACAAGAAGGACGCCAAATTCTACAGCAACATGTTCGCTAAGATGACAAAGTAACTGGCACTGGCCAAAGACAGCGTGAGTGTCTTGTTCTTTTCACTGCGACCTCCACTACATGCTGCTTCAGATGTACTTACTGCAGATAGATTTTGTGTCTAACCGATTGATTCGTCGCTAATAACAGATGGCTTTTGGGGTGGAGGATGCAGTGAAGCAGAGGATTACAAGCATGCCGTTTTCTGCTGCCCAAGGACTTCGCCTGTTGCATAACATTTCGCTTTTGCCATACTTTGTACGAGTGGTCAATTAGTGCGCACGGATGCTTGGATATGTGAAACTGAGGAACATTCACTTCGAGGATTATTATTGGATCTGAATTTGTCTGTTTTCTGGTTCTTGTTGGGACCATCGAATGTTCTGTCTTTAAAGGATCTTATATTTCGCACACATGTTCTTAATTTCCTATGGCCCTGTTCGCTTGTTTTATAATCCGTATTTTTCAACTTTTTTTTTTCAGTCGAAATAGTATTTTTTTTTCAAAACAAATCTGTTGGGATAGTGTTTCGCTTATTTTTTCAGTGAAGCGAGGGGGGCCTATGTAGAAAAAACTGCTCCAAATTGGCTAAATCATTCTAACCTAGAAGGCCTGAGAGAAGTGACCACGACACAAAAACCAAACCGGAGCTCCAAGTTTAAGATGGAAACGTTCCATGTACAAGCCCCTGCTTCCCGGCGAACCACCACCGGTGGTGATTCGATGAAGCAGATAAATTTATTGCATGTAAAGCAGCACTGTTTGAGAAACGTTACTAGTCTGAAAATAACCGGAATTGCACAACGTTTGCAGATCAATGGAAGGACTACTCTAGACACATCTGTTTTTTTTTTTTTTTTTTACAAACTCTGGACACATCTAGTTAATTTACACTAACAAATATAGAGCATACAAAACGGCAAACCGAGTTCACAATCCAAGTGGCAAGATGCCAAGATCCAATCATGTCCTGGAACGAAGGTCCTGATATGACTATTCAATCTAATATCAGCAGCGTATATAACAATGGATGCCCCTAGCTGATGCTGGCAAATGGATTACTGTACCGACGAGCAGCAAATAAACGGTACCCACTGCTGTTTCCTTCCCTTGGGTTTCTTCTCCACGGGCAACCTGGCCGGGGAGTTCCAGTCCTGCTGCCCTGAACCGTCTTTGGGCAAACCTGGCTTCACCGGCGACACATTGTCTTTGGATACACGGCGCCTGAACGACAGTACCCGGTCCTTGGTGCTCGCCTTCTTCTCCTTCTCTTTGGTTTCCACGTTCTTGTCCGCGAGGAGGACCTTCAACGAGACGTGGTTCTTATCCGAGTCGGTGACCATTTCCTTGTCGGCTATCTCTTCGTTCTGATCAGTAGCTCCCTTCAGCTCATCTGTGCTTTCTACAGTGCTGATCTCCTTTGAGGCTGTATCTTCCGTCGTCTCCCTTTCTTCGATGACATTTGTGTTCTGTGCCACTTCAGCGGTTTCATCTGTAGTGGTGGTGTTTTCATTATGCTTGCTGCTTTCTGCATCCTCTGTGCCTTGTGTTGTGGCGTTCTCAACAGATCTAGGATCCGCTGTAGTTTCTTCACTCTGCTTCTTGTCTTCAGCATCGCCTATGCTGGTAGTGTTTTCATTCTGCTTGCCGCTTTCTGCATCCTCTGAGCCTTGTGTTGTGGTGTTTTCAACGGGTCTAGGATCTGTTGTAGTTTCTTCACCCAGCTTCTTGAGTTCAGCATTGCCTATGCTGGTAGTGTTTTCATTCTGCTTGCTGCTGTCCGCATCCTCTGTGCCTTGTGCTGTGGTGTTTTCAACAGGTCTAGGATCTGCTGTAGTTTCTTCACTCGGCTTCTTGTCTTCAGCATCGCCTATGCTGCCCATGGTACCAATGCTGGAAGTAGGGTCAACAGCAGGCTCCCCGATCTTCTCTTCATCAACATCATCACTGGTTTGTGCCACATTGGTCTCGTGTGAAATAGGGTCTGCACTTGTGTTTTCATCCTTCCTCTCTTCAGGACTGTCAGTAGAGGTAAGCAAACTAAACTTGTCTAAGGTGGGACCTGACGTAGTCTCTTCGTACATCTGCTCTTTGACATTATCAGGGCCATGTACCACAATATCATCATGACAACCTAGGCCCTCGTTAACTTCTTCATTATGCATTTTTAACTCATTAATGCTGCTGTCTGAGATGTTAAGAGAGAGAGTGCCTGAAGTAATTTCTTCATTAGGCATTTTGTCTTCAACAACATCTGTGATGGTTCCCACGTTACTCTCACCAGCAGTAGCATTATTTTCTCCAGTAGCTTCTGTGCTGCGTGCCCCGTCTATTTCATGGTTTGTTTTTACATCATTCTCATCCTGCTGCTCAACCATGTCTCTGTTACTTGTAACATTGATCTCTTCAGAAGCCAGATTCGCAATGAATTCTTCAATCTGTTCCTTTTCTTCAGTACTACTCATGCTTTGGACAGTACTTATCTTGTAAGAAGTGGTGTCTCCAATACTTTCTTCATTCTGCTCATTTTCCCTGTGATTATCAGTAGTAGGAAAAGAATCGGCTTCATGAGGAGCAGGATCTACAATGACATCTTTGTTCTGCTGTTTTTCTTCAAAGTTATCCTTGATAACCATCTGTTTTACCTCATATGAAACAAGGTCTGTACTGCTTTTTTCATTCTGACTCTTTTCGTCAACATCATGTATACTACCGACCATGTTGATTTCATGTGCTATAGCAGAAGGACTCAAATCCACTAGATCAACTGGAGATGGTACGAGAGTACCACTTGCCACATTTTCCTGCATGCTGTCATCCATTGTTATGCCCAACGAACAAACATCCTCTGTAAGGTTAGCTGTGGAACCAACAGCAGGTCCAAATGTACTTGATATTGCTCCGATGCTTTCATCTGCAGAATGTGCATCAAATTTCAGTTTGTAAACAGTTACTATACAACTCATACACAGTTACTAAAAGGTATTTGGTCAAAACGTTTCCAGGCCACTGGTGTCTCTGTTGACTAGACTGACTTGTCGTCAACTACATATTGTACTTGTGAAACATTGCGTTGTTTATCAAATTGCACTTGAAGTAGGGAGTCATAATTGCACATTAGGTAGAAGATCAAATGATACTTATGACATGAGCAAAGAAATGTCAACTAATCATGCATTACCACTGAGCCCTTTCCACAATTGGCCGGACATTAACACTTTATCAGAATGCAAGTACAACAGAGGCATTAATTGATAGCTCAACTAACCAAAATCAAAGTACACTGCTCGATTAAACATTTTCAGCTTCTTACCAAACTTTTTCAAAAGATTAAAGAAGCTTTAATTCAACATTGTAAAATAAAAAATCAACATGAAATGCAGTACACAAGAACATCCAGAAAGTCTAACCTGTTGTAGGATCATGCTGTCCTTCAACATTGTCTGCCCCTTTGGAGATTGCCAGATGATCTGCCATTCCAGAGGTAGAGTCAGGTTGCTGCTGAGCTTTGATATCATCAGGTATCTCTGAGTGGCAACCATCTTTACCAAGTTGAAGCAAGTCATCATCTGTACCAACAGATTTCTCAGCAGAAGACTCAACAGGCTCAATGTTAGGAACTTTCTCAAATGATTCAGTTAACTCATGCTTGCTTTGCTGATTTGGTTCAGTTTCGTCGCTCAGGATTTCTTCGTTGTTACTTGCAGTAGGATTCTTGACACCTGAATCTTCCTCCACTGCAGTGCTACTGTGCCCCTCACCAATCTCAGTCTGTAGAATATCTTGACATGAGAGACCAAGCTCGTCACCTTGCACAGATTTTCCCTCACTAGATTTACTTTCACCTATGGTGTTGATCATACCACCTTCCCCAGTCACAGCAACCCCATCCTGCTGTCTGACTACATCACTCGTCAGTTCAGAAGTTCCACCTCCAGCTGCATCTGATTCCAGAGGCACAATACTCGAGTTCTGTATTTCATTTTCAGAGATTTCAGAACTGAATTTTGCAGAGTCTTGAGAGACTGGTGAAATAACAGAAGTGGGAACGTCCTGGAGCTGTTCAGAACTAACTGCTGGATCAGATGGATCCTTATCCTCAATAGGTGATCCTTTTTCAGAGTACTGTGTAGCCACTGTAGTCAGAGTACCATCATCAGTCCTGCTGGCCTCAGAAGTGATTTCAGAAGGAACGTTACTGCTACTGACGAGGCAATCTTCAGCTGCTTTATCTCCAATGACTTGAAGCTCAGCACCATTACCTGAAGGATCTACAGAAGACAATCACAGGTAATCATGCATCCAGACATATGTCGTAAAACCCATTAGCGATGACCAAAACATGCATTGAAGAGAGTGTACGCATATAGCGCAGTGAACATATTTAAATAGCTTTGGACTCTGACAGTGAAGCTATGTAGCAGCGCAGCATGGGGACAAGTTGGCGAGATGGTGTACTGGTATCAAATGGCAACATGTGGCCAGCCTCACTAATTTATTGAGCAGGTTTATTATACCAAACTTGATGTGTATGTGTACAGTTTGGAAGTTACATGGACAGCGAGGCATCCCTGAACCATTATTAACACAAGGATTTGTATTACATTACACTGCCCCCCATATATGACAAACAAAGTACCCACATTATGCTAACCAAAAGGATAAGGACACGCTTATTCCAGACTACACATCAATACAATTCCACTGAACCAGGAAGTTCTTGTGTCTACAAAAGACGAAATTGGGACAAAAAAGTAAAAGGAAATGCAATAACTTTCCACCAACCAAATCTTACCCAAGACACATTTCCCTTCCCACTTCAGAAACGAACAAAAAGAAACGAAGATCAGCAGGATTCAGAGAAGGGGAAGGAGATTCAGAACGGACCTGCACCTGCACTGGCTGCACTGTCCCCTCCCTCCACCGCGTCCCCAGGCTCGTGCGCAGATCCAGGCGAACCGCCGCCGCATTCCGTCGCGCCCGCTCCGTTCCCATCGGCTCCCGCGCCTCCTCCGCTCTCACCTAGGACGCCATCCACGAGAGCACGCGTCAGGACAAGAGGCCAGCTGGGACACAGTCACACGGCGACACACCACCACACGGAGGCACGGAATCTACAGTACCCAGAAGCAGCTCGCTGCCGTCGTGCTCACCGGCGCCCCCCTCCTCCGCGGCGGCGGTGGAGGACGTCGGATTGCCGCAGTGCTTCCGGTGCGCGCGCCGCTGCTTGGCGCTCGGGTGCCCGTTCGGGTACTGGTACCCGCACGCGTGGCACACAACGCCCTCCCCTCCGGCTCCGGCTCCGGCACCTGCGCGAGAAACCACCACGCCGTCACATCTCACAAACAAGAACACAGGAAAAAAAAACCCGGCACACACACGAAAAAAAAAGGCAAATACATCTCCACAATGCCGGCGGCGCGGCGGCAGCGGGCCGCGGGGGGCGGACTTACCGGGCGCGCTTCCGCCTCCGCCCTTGTGGGCGCTCTCCATGACGACGGACGGGCCCCCTCGCAGCGCGATGCTCGGCGGCAACGGCGGAGGAAGAGGGAGGCGAGTGGGGTGGGTTGGTTGGTTGCCTGCCCGCCGCCCGCTCGCTTTTGCGCAGTTGGAGTGCGTGTGTGTGGAGAAGGAGACGAAGGCGAGGGGGAGCCCTCACGCCGAGTATAATGACAACGGCGCTTACCATAATTGCGGCGTGGGCCCCCACGGGATCCCTGGCCCACACGTCATCGACACGTTACTGTGGGCGCGTCGGACCCGGGGGTCTCGGGTCGTGACCGTGGGCAAGGCAAGAGACAAGTCTCTCTCTCTCTCTCTCTCTCTCTCTCTCTCGTGCGGTTCGCGGCCGGGGAGCGCATCTGGGCCGTCGGCGGCGGCATCGACGGGCCGGGGTGGCCCGTAGTGGGCGGGGCCCACGTGGCCGGCAAGGCGAGGATCCTTTGCTCCGCCGAGTCGATAACCTGCGCAGCCTTTTGGGCCAGTTCACTCTCTTCACTTTTCTTTTCTTTTTTACCGTTTCGTTGCCGATGCTGCGACGGCGATGCAATGCAGCAGCGGTGTACCGTGTTGCTGCCAAAGCGCCAACCAAAAACCAACCAGGCCATTAGAGAAGAGAGGCAACATGCGTGCTCACCGGAACGTGGCGGCATGTGCCAATCGGGGACACCGGCAAGGACGACCGCGGGTAGGCATGTAGCGAGTAAAGATGGCAGAGGGATACTACGGACTACTATGGAGCCGTGAATGGCCCCCCAGTTTGTTCCGTGCGTGAACGGTAACACAACTTTGAATATTCCAAAACACACACACACAAAACTTCGAAGGAGCCAACCAATCATCTTTCGTGGTGATGGGTCACGAGACTTAATTTGATCATTCAAACATGCTTGAAAATTTTTCTCCTCCTGTTCTTTGTCAATGCGATAAATATTGAATGTCCCCCAGGGTGAACTTTTCCAAACACACGCACACAAAACTTCGAAGGAGCCAACCAATCATCTTTCGTGGTGATGGGTCACGAGAGTTAATTGACCCCATTTTCCATGTCTTTGTCAATGCGATAAATATTGTGTGGGGGCCCCCATTGTCCATGTGGGATAGGGCCCAAGAGCTTCTCAATTCGTCGTGCTGATCCGTCCTTGCTGTCAACTTTTACTATTTTCGTTTCACATTTGCCCTATTCTTGTTATAGAGACAAGTAGTTTAGATATATTTATATTTTGTATTTACATGCTTTCTCTTATTCAAAAATCGATACAATAAATGGTATTTCCATATAATTATCTACCGGTACTTATATTAAAATTATAAAACACAAAATTCTAGTTAAATATGTATTGTGTATCTGTATAGTATGTAATAAGATATGTCAAGATATGTTATATAAGGAGACATCAACAATGTAATAGTCTAATCTAATTGTTCAAAGTTTGAAACTAACATCCCAACTGACTCACCATATAAACAATTAATGGTCCACAAAACTGGTTGGTTTGACCATTTCGTCGTGTCCACCCCTCGGCTCACCAATACCTTGAATTTATGCAAACTAAGGGCATGGTTGAAACAAAAGGATCATAAAACAAAGAAATGGTAGAAAACACATGAATAAAGTATGAACAAAGGGAGGAAATGGAGGAATGCAAAATATATGAAAGTTATAGAAAGTGGTGTTCGGAATGGTACAAAAAAAAGATAAAAAAACTATGGTTAAAAACACTAGTGTCAAACAAAAGCGACTTTATTAACTCATTCACTATGTTTGCTTTTATTCACACCTTCTCCTCCTATAGTTTTCCATTCAATTCAATGTTCATCCTCTCTCTCTACCTTTTTTACAGAATTCCATCAGGGCGTCCTCAACGGGCGACAACATCGTCAGCTGATCAGGCTCGGAAATTGGTTTAGGCTATCGTGCATGGAAAAGAACGAGTAGAAAACAAAGCTAGCGAGTTGTTCGGCGCTAGCGCGGAGCTGGAGGAAGCTAGGATCTCATGGGCCTGTGCTGTTTTTTTTTTTGGTCTACCAATCAGATGCATTTAGGGAGAAAAAATATTTCATTAGCTAATTCTAACACCTAGGTCCATACCTGCCCAGGGCCATGTCAGCTGTCGACTTCGACAACACTGCTGTGGATGCCCTCATGGCACGCCCTCTCTCTCCATGTACACGTGATCCAAACGAGTGAAGTTATTATCAAAATACTGGAATCACATTTCTTTAAGATTCCTTTGAGAAACATTCATTTCCATCGATCCCTAAGCTGTACCATGTGATTGTTATTACTTAAGTATTAGCAACCTATGGTAAAATGGTATCCACATACCACACAACATACAAGCTTTGGTAGGAAATTGTACCACACGGTTATGAGTTTTTATCGGGTAAATTTCAATGCACAGGTTTGGATGGATGATACCCATCAGATTTGAACCTTTTGTCATCTCTAACCAACCATTTCCGGAGCACGAAAAAGCGTAGGTTCCCTTTTCTGTACGGATGGTCCAGAAACCCCAGAGTGAGGGACGTTCCTGCCAGATCTAGGCCTAATTCTGTTGGGGCACGCTTCCTTAAGGTTGTCAGATGGTCAGAGAACGAAACAAACCCGCGGACTTGCCGACGCTGAGCTCCCGATCTCTCCGCCCGTCCGCCGCCTCGTATGCACCACATCACACGCTGTAAGTGGTTGACAGGTTACGCCAAGCGGGCAAGCGGCGGATCGAGAATTCACCGCCGGTGAACTCGGGGAGCGAAATACGTCGCCGCCGGTGAAGCCGGGGAACAAAACACGCCAGTAGTTTTGCTTGTTTGTTTTTTTGATATAGGAGAAATAGGCAGGAGCGCTGCCTCCTCGCGATCGATCTGTTCGTCAGTGTAACTCTGACTCGAATTACAGTGATGCTTTGCTTGCTAACTTCCTACACGAAAGAACAGAAGATGGTAACGATCCTCCGCCCGGCCGCATGGGCATCCATGGCGATGGCCTTCCTCACTACTCACTACCTAATCCAATGTATCCAATGTCGCCGCCGGTGAAGCCGGGGAACGACGCCAGTAGTTTTGCTTGTTTGTTTTGATATCAGAAATAGGCAGGTGCTGCCTTCGCGATCGATCAGTTCGTCATTAACTCTGACTCGATTACAGTGATGCTTTGCTTTTTCCTACATAAAGAACAGAAGATGGTAAAATTTCAGTCCAGCCCTTCCTCAACACTACCTCGATGGCCGATGGCCTTCCACCTTCGCGTCGTCTGTCTAGTCGAGAGAGCTGGCGAACTTGCATGATCCATGGCCTGCAAAACACACATAACAATGCCGACGACGACAGATCAATGCGACTGACTTAAACCAAATGCAGAAGGAAGCTGCACATCTCTGGTAGAGAAAGATGGAAAATGCACGACGGTGTCAACTCACTTGGATCCTTGGTGGTGGTCTTCGCGAGCCCATTGAAGAAGCAGGTGCCGCCGGCACTCCTGAACTGCTGCCAGTATGCGTTGAACGCGTAGCTCGCGTGCGCGTCCAACGTGTCCGGCTCGTGGCACGCGCCGCCGGGCTGGATGGCGGCGCACGTCCCGCTCCCCTGCTGGCACGCGTACGCTACCGCGGCCGCCACCGCCGTCTCGTTCACAGCCTTGCCGAGCACGCACCACGCCGCCGCGCTGTCCGTGTTGTCCGCGGGCGGCAGCGGCGGGTACGACGACCGCCGGCCGGTGAGGTCCACGTCGTACACCCTGCTCCCGTTCGGGTAGTAGAGCCCCCAGTGGCGCTCGCTGCCCGCTCCCGGCTTCTGATCCTCGTTGTAGAGCGAGAAGAGGAACACCGACACCTTGGCCCCAGGCGCGCCGGCGTGCCGGGGTTCTTGGACATCCGCGCGGCCAGGTTCCGGTTGTACGTGGCGGCGTTGCGCACGTTGGCGCCGGTCTCGCCCGCGTCGCCGCCGCTCGGCCACCCGGTCTCCGAGACGGCCAGCTTCACGTCCCCGTACCCAAGCCTGCCCATGGCGGCGACGACCGCGTCGAGCATCTGGTCGAGCAGGTTGGTGTACGTGAGCCCGTTGCCCGCGTCCACGTAGCGCGAGCTCGCCGCGCCCTGGAACAGCGCGTAGTCGAGGGAGATGGCCTCGCGGTTGCCCGCCCACGCGAAGTACGGGTACGCGTCGACGAAGTAGTAGGAGCGGGTGGCGTTCAGGAACCGGAGCAGCTGCCGGATCACGTCCTCGGCGATGTCGTCGCGGAACGCGCCGGCGGACGGCGGGTACGACGCCGACAGCGCGTCCATGGAGAGCGTCGTCCCGAGCTTGACCGTGCGGAGCCCGCGCCCGGGCGCGCGGCGGAGGGCGCGGTGGAGGTTGGCCATCGCCGGCACGACGGCGCGCCACGTGGACCCCGCGATGGCGCGGTTCGAGAGCACCTCGTTGCCGACGAGCAGGTGCGCCACCCGCGTCGCCGGGGTGTGCGGCGCGAGGTTGGTGGCCACCCAGTCCTCCGCGGCGGCGCGGGAGGAGGCCAGCGACGGGATGGCCGAGTTCGGCACCATGATCGACACCGGTATCCCCGTCCCGGCCAGCGCCCGCAGGATGTCCGCGTTGGCGTCGTAGATCTTCACGGCGCCCGCGCCCGCCGCGCGGAGGAGCTGCACGGAGCGCGACTCCTAGGGGAGGTCGTCGGCCACCGTGCCGTAGTTGATGCCGAGGCCGCGGCACCCGTTCGCGCCTGCATGCATGGACGACGCAACGCAACGCGGCACAGATCAAACAAAGACACTTGACGTCGAACAACAGATCGAGACCATTGAACACTAGTAATTTGGAGAGACGTGATCACCGTGGCAATGGCGCTTGACGTCGGTGGCTACGACGAGGACACTGAAATGGCACGCTATAATGGCAGCGGCGAGCACGAGGGTAGCGGCGGCGTGGCAGGAGGAGGACGGCGCCATGGTGGCGGCCGCCTTTGTTGCTTGTATTTGTTTGTGAGTTTGTTATACTGGATCAGGTGGAAGGGGGCAGTTTGTTTATAAAAGAAGAGGGTTTTTAGGAAGGGGGTTTGGATGACTCAGAACGCAAGTACAAAAAACAAAATGTAAATATAATTTTTTTCTTAGTATAAATGTAAGTATATCTCTTTTTCTACTATAAAAGAATGAATGAATTAAACATATCTCTTCGTATTTTCGACCACACTTTTCAAGTTCAAACGGCGGACGATCCAAGCAAGAATACAACTGCCCTACAACTAATCTGGTTTTCCAGAGATCGTTTTGTGTCAAATCGTCTGTCTTTTATATTAGCTATTGTTTCCTTGATATATATCAGACATGAGACATTTTTTTATTATCTTTCAAAAAACAAGCTGATGGGTACGCTGTTTTTTAAAACCTGCTTGTAATATATGTGTATGCATCGCATATTAGGCTCAACTTTCCAAATACATCAACACCCAAGATCTATTTTACCGAGCTGTCTCAAGTCCGTTTCTTGTCAAACCTTAATATAAAATTCCGAAACCACATTTCAGCATATAAAATAAAATCTCGTTGCATAAGTCTAGAAATATGTTTTCTTGTTCACATATGTTACTAGGAGTAACATAAGATAAGCCCGACATTGCCCACGACAGATTCTCAACGGCCACATGTCAGTGAAACACTAGGTGTCAAATCCTAAAATTTCCCCCACAACTAAATGGTCCCAGGTTCAAGGATAACCTATCTCCAAGAGTGTCCCATATTTTTCTCTCAAAAACTTTATTTTTTGACACCTAAAAGGATATTGAGAGAAAAAAAAAAAGATCATCTTTGATAGTACTCCATATTTCACTTCCAAAAATCAAAATCTTGGTCCACACACTTTTCCCTTCGTCGCCTCAGCGTGTTCGACGACGACGAGACGCTGCGCCCGTCTTCCACCCGGACTGCATCGACACTAATCAATTCAGTGTCCTCGGTGCTCAATGCTCATTGACCAAACTCCCAATCCGCCTCATGTCGCCTTCCCTGCTTAATCTTTATCTTCACTTGCTGAGCCACGAGTGGCATGGCACACGAGTACACGACTATGCTGATGCTGTGCTGTGCTGTACTGCTGTGCCTGTGCATCACTCTCTCGCCCGCTGGTACGGAAATAGGCTGGTAGCTCACAGGATAATATTGCTAGCTCTTGTCTGCTCCTGCTCGTCCGTCACTGATTCGATCTCTTAAATTCATCGGCTTTCAAGAATCCACGCAAGAATCCGATCTCGAAACTACGGACCATCGATTCCAAACATGGAAGCAGTGATGGGAAGGATTCATCTTGTACTGGTGCAGTGCGTGGCTGCGGCGGCGCTGATATCTTCATTGACCGGCGGCGCCGCCGCCGAGGCAGCGGCGGTCGCGGCGCAGGAGCTGCGGCAAGGCTTCTCCGTCGCCCACGACCAGTCCTACTCGCAGTTCCAGCCAGTGCTCGCCGACCCCACCGGCGTCTTCGCGCTCGGCTTCCTCCGCGTCAACGCCACCATGCTGGACCTCGCCGTCCTCCACCTCCCGTCTGCCTTCCCGCTCTGGCGCGCAATCCCCCGACCGCCCCGCGCCATGGTGTCAGCAGCACACCTGCCCGGTCACCAGATGCTGCTGAAGGCCGGCCCAGAGGACCAAGGCCCAGGAAGCCCAACCCAAAGTATACCGGCGACGTCTGGGCCAACTGAGGCGCTTGCACGCGCGACTTGAGGCACAGCCTCTGTAATACCCAGGAAGCAACCCAAAGGGTATACCGGCGACGTCTGGGCCAACTGAGGCGCTTGCACGCGTGACTTGAGGCACAAAAAAAAATGGTTTCACTAGTAATAGTGAAGTAAAGCTCTGCCAAACGGGAGGAGAGGAAAGGAGCAGAGAGCATATATGTCATAACAGAATTCTAAACTTCTCGTCTAAGAAGGAACTCGTCCTACCGTACACTGTTCTTCTTCCCCGATTGCTCGTTCTCCACTCCTCTTCCCCAATCTCCTTCGATTCCCCATTGCTATCTCTCACAAGTGGTATCCGATTCCCATCATTGAAGAATTACTCGATGAGTTAGCAGGAGCTGCCTGGTTTACCAGTCTTGATCTTCAAGCTGGCTTCCATCAGATCAGAACGAAGGAGGAAGAGGAATTCAAAACCGCATTTCAAACCCATCTCGGACAGTTTGAATTCAAGGTCATGTCCTTTGGATTAACAGGAGCCCCGGGCACGTTTCAGGATACAATGAACTCTACTTTGCACCCATATTTGCGCAAGTTTGTGCTGGTTTTCTTCGATGATATCTTAATCTACAGTGCAACTCTTGAGCAACATTTGGAACATCTCCGCTTGGTTTTTGATCTTCTTGCCAAAGGTCAGTGGAAGTTGAAGCTGTCAAAGTGTTCCTTTGCCCAGACACAGATTTCTTATTTGGGACATATCATTAGTTCGGCTGGGGTGAGCACTGATCCAGCAAAGCTTGACGCCATAGCACGTTGGCCTACCCCTACCTCGGTTAAGGAGTTACGGTCATTCTTGGGACTTGCCGGTTATTACCGTCGCTTTGTCCGTCATTTTGGTATCTTTTCCAAGCCACTTACCAATTTAATGAAAAAACATGCATTGTTCATTTGGACAGTGGATCACGAGTTAGCTTTTGAAGCTCTGAAAGCGGCTCTCTGTCAGTCACCAGTGTTAGCTCTGCCGAACTTTGCCAAGCCCTTACGATTGAGACGGATGCTTCAAATTCTGGGATTGGTGCCGTGTTAATGCAAGAAGGACATCCACTAGCGTTCTTCAGTAAGGCTTTGGGTCCTAAGTTGAAGGGCTTGTCGACATACGAGAAGGAATTTATGGCAATTCTCCTTAATTGGCGCTCTTATTTGCAGTTTCAAGAGTTTACAATTCTTACTGATCAGCGTAGCCTGACACAATTAAGTGAGCAGCGGCTCCACACACATTGGCAGCAGCGTGTATTCTCCAAACTGCTGGGACTTCAGTACTGTATTATCTATCGCCCCGGTACTGCTAACCGCGCGGCTGATGCCCTGTCTTGCCATCCGGCGCCCTCTGCTGAATGCTCGGCAATATCCACGTTGGTACCTTCCTGGTTATCTTCGGTGATGGCTAGTTACACTAATGATCCTGCTACTCAGAGCATTCTCTCTCGGCTCGCTATGGACCCGGAAGCTGTTCCTCATTATTCTCTCCATTCTGGCATATTGCGCTACCGTAATAAAATTTGGATTGGCAATGATCCCACTTTGCAACAGCGTTTGATTGCTGAATTTCATTCTAGCGCATGGGGAGGACATTCTGGTGTTCCTGTCACATGCATGCGCCTCAAGCAGTGTTTTGCATGGAAAGGAATGAAGACTGCGGTCAAAGATTATGTGCAAGCCTGCGGTATCTGCCAGCAGTCCAAGTATGACCGAGCTAAGGCCTACTCCAACCTCTGCCGGTACCAGATTCTGCTTGGCAGGTGATATCGATGGACTTTATTGAAGGTCTTCCTATGTCTCATTCTTACAACTGCATTTTGGTTGTGGCGGACTTACTAAGTATGGGCACTTCATCCCACTGCGACATCCCTTTATTGCTTCTGGAGTTGCCAAGTCCTTTGATACCGTCTATCGCCTGCATGGTCTGCCTGGCTCTATCATCTCTGACCGTGACAGGATTTTCACCAGTCATTTCTGGTCTGAACTGTTCAAGCTCATTGATGTCAACTTATGTCGCAGCACGGCTTATCACCCTCAGTCTGACGGGCAGACAGAACGCCTGAACCAATGCCTGGAGACCTATTTACGCTGTTATGTCCATGCTTGCCCAGAAAAGTGGAGTCAGTGGTTGCCTTCGGCTGAGCTCTGGTATAACACCTGTCACCATTCAGCTATTGGCCGATCTCCTTTTGAGGCCCTGTATGGTTATTCCCCACGTATGCTGGCCATTGATCCTTCATCGGCATCCAACTCTGAAGTCATTACATGGTCATCTGACAGACAGTGGATGGATCAACTCTTACAGCAGCATTTGTATCGTGCTAAGCACCGCATGAAGAAACAGGCGGATCAACACCGTTCTGAGCGAAGCTTCGACGAGGGGGATTCAGTCTATCTTAAGCTTCAGCCTTACGTTCAAAGCTCATTGGCACCCCGGTCTCACCAGAAATTGGCGTTCCGTTTCTTTGGACCTTACCGCATCACGGATCGGGTTGGCTCAATGGCGTGCAAGCTCGACTTACCAGCACATTCATTTGTTCATCCTGTATTCCATGTCTCGTAGCTCAAGAAAGCCGTTGGTGCCGCCCATCAGGTTACTCCACTATTACCTACTGACTTTGCCTTGCAGTTGGCTCCTGAGCAGGTGCTTCAAACCCGTCTAATGACTCGCGGCAAGAACCAAGTGCAGCAAGTGCTTGTGAAGTGGAACAATCTACCGACAACTCTGGCAAGCATAGAGCAGGGACGCATGGTACTAGATCCAGTTCCGTAATGTATAATCATTAGCAACATGTATGGATTTAAACTTCTGTTTGGAATAATATAACAAACTGAATTGGATACAACGAAAAGTAGCAAGTATATGTGATTTCCCTTGTTTCACGTCGTTTCACCTGAACACAGTTCCATGGCTTATACTGATGCTTATGCTGAAATGTTATGAGAAGAAAACACTGTTCCATAGCTGAAAAGTAGTTCCGAATAAGTTCCGAATAAGAACAAGCGAACAGGGTTACGAGAGCAATGCGCATATCACACATCAAAATCTCTTGGCAAAAGTGCCTGGATTGCAGCAGAATTCAACTATGCAGGACCTCTCAGTTTTTCCACTTTTCCTAGAGAGACCAGAATGGTACAGCATTTTGAGCATTGGTTATTAAATACAGCAGAGACAAGAAAACCACCAACCAGGCACCAAAAGTAATGAGTTTGGACACAGCTAATGTTTGCTCTCAGGTCAACAAACGATGTGCGTAGAAATCCCATCAAGAGATTGCTTGAGTGAGTGGAACAACCTAATATGCAGCACAGCACAGTAGGTTGTAAACTAGTCAGGCGATCTCCTGGACCACCAGATCATAACTCAAGTTGCAGTAGCCAGCTCACCGTGTATATCACTTTGAGTGCCATCACAAAGGAACAACGTAAGGCATAGCAATTACATCGGCAGTATCAATTAGCTGTGCATCGGACCAAACTTGGCGTGATTCTACAGCCTCAAGTGTCACTGTTTTCCGCCTAATATGATCCACGGAAAACAGCCAGTCCTGATCAATGTACTCTGAGAAGTCCTGTGTTGAAGGTATGCAGTGCACTTGGCTCAGATACTTGGTATCAGGGTGAGGTTGCTTCAGATAACCTTTGTTACTCTCATAGCCAGATGAAGAAACTGAAGGCATTTGCTCCTCTGAATAACGAGAGCCAGTGATGCCATTGTTATAGCTATGTCGGCACTCATGCTGACCTAAATCAGAAGTATTCACCCCAGCTGGTTCTGTAGAAGACTGATGTGTGATCCACTGAGGATGCTGTGAAATTTTCTCGTCCACACAAGTAAGACTGGAAAGAGATGTCATTGGCAGCTTGCTTGTTCTCATACTGTGTTCTGTCAACATATTCCAAATGAGACTCAAAATAAGTAAAATTTAAATACTACGGCTTCAATGTATTTAGCATGATTGTGCTATTATGGACTAAATGCTCATAGAAAAGGAGGGAGAAAAAGGTCATTGGCTACTTTATATAAAAGGAACTCACCAGAAAACAGAAAGAAAGGAGAGGAAAAAAAAAACTTACCATGTGGAGAGCTATTAGGGCCAGAGTCTTCCGTTTTCCTGATATCAGAAGCGAACTTTTGCTCATTAAGACAGCCCGAATGCACCAGATTATCGACCTTGTCCTTGCTTGCACCAAGTGCACCAAGATCTTCATGTTTCTGCTCATTGACAGTACCATTTTTCTCCACTTCTTTATCTTTATTTTTGCATTCAGTCTTTCTTTTCTTTACAACAATATCTCTATCCTTACCTTCAAGACTTTTACGATAGTTACATCTTGCATTCCCTTCAACTGCTCCATCTTTATTTCGTGCAAATTGCCGATCCATCTTGCGACAGAAATTGTTAGCACTTTGATTTTCCTCCCCCAAACCTTTTGTGCTACTTCTGTCATTTTTCACGTTTGCAGAATGGACAGAAATATCAGGATCTTTTCCTGTTTCTTCCGTTCTCTGAAAAGTATTTGAGTTAGGTGTGACTCTGCCAGTTGCAGTATGTACAACTTCAGAGCTTCTTTGTGTATCAGAATTATCATGGCGCACACGAACTCCATTACAATTGTACCTTCTTCTGGAATGCATTTCAGCTGATCTATCTTGAAGGCTCTTCCCATTCTTTATTTCAGTTTTAGAATCGATACCCCTGCACATTCCTTTTTTATTGGCATGAGCAATACTGTCACTCTTTTGCACCATCCCGTAATTGTCTTCTGTTGCCTGTGCAGATTTCTTAACCATTCTACCAAGAAAATTCCTTTCCTTCTCTTTAGAACCTGTACAACCAATGCTATCAGTGCTCCAAGGAAGCAACTCAGTATTGTTATATTTGGGGTCTGTATGATCTCCTTGACCAAAAATTCGGGAAACCAACTCATCAGCTGGTATAGTATCTTTGACTGATTCATGCTGTAGTTTTTCTTCAGGTTTTCTGTGTCTCAAAGTTTGGTTTCTGTCTTTATATATGTCTTCGTTCTTTTTCCTCTCTCTGCACTTCGCTCTTTTGTGTTTCCTGTTGTGCTTATCTTTCCTATGATCTCTACCCTTTTCTTTTGTTTCTCCTTTTCCCCTGTCCTTTCCTTTTCTGTGCTTCTTATCCTTGTGCTTTTCCTGAAATAAGCGGCACATATTCAATACCAGTGAATTCACTATACAGAATTAATAATTCACACACTCTATACTGACCATTCTTCCTAGCCCTTCGGTACATGCTAAGAAAATACAACTAGCACCTCATTGCATTTTTAGACATGATCATCACAATATTGCAGTTATGGGTTCTCATCAAGGACATATTTCATGTCATTTGGTTCAAGACAAAAATATTACACGCCATGCTCTTGTACTTCCAGAGTTCCAGGTTAACCCAACCACAGTAGCAAGGTAGTAGAATGCAGGAACAAGTCGTAGCCTATGAAATGTTCAGAAATTTAAAAGGCAATGGTAAGGGATAGGGTTCACTCAGGTAATGATTTAGTACGCAATAAAATAATGTGAAAAATACTGCAGAAGTTCGGACCAAGTCATACTGTAGAATGGTAGTTTTCATACAGTAAGCGACCAAGTACTGACAAAAAACGAAAACATAGGGTACAGAACTAAGTATTTATTAACTAAAAATTAACATGTATGAACGTCGACATGTGGTTGATGAGGACATACAGTCTATTAATCAATATTTCTTAATCATCCCACATAGCTGAGGCCTGAGGTATAGAAATATCTTATGTAAAAGAATGATGTTTATCATAGCATATGATACACAATTTATCTATACAAAAATATGAAAGAAATATGAATTAGAAATAAAGTTGTATGTGTAAATTGTGCAATTCGAGTCGCGGTCTCCTCGCATTGCACAGGCGAGGGTAAGGCTTGCCACTGACACCCTTCCCCAGACCCCGCACAGAGCGGGAGCTCTCTGCACTGGGTACGCCCTTTTGTAAATTGTGCAATTCTTTGTTGTTTCAGTCATGAACTCCAGTCTCTCAAGAAAATGTTACAAAGTCCATAAGATGCACTTTAAAGCAATACACAGATCAGGTCAACATGTTGTCTTCCTCAAACATAGGGAAAAGTGTAGCACAAAAAAAAAACTAACCATATTCAGGCCCCTGCGAAGCTGATTAAGAAATATATATTAGGATAAGGGGCAAAGAAGCAGGGTCCTTCCCAGCTGCTCTTTTTCCTCCAAAACACATTGGTAACTCTATGTTGCATTGTGACATCTAACACTTCCAAAACTAGTAATCTATTAATACTGCTCTTATAATATTGCTCATATTGTGATAAAACTCAAAGCATATCGTGTCATTGTGTGTTTCCCCAAGATGTAGCCTTTCTTATGTTTGCCATTATTTCACTCAAATATACTCATTTGATTTGCCAAATAGCATTTGGTAGAATAAGTACATTTGGGTGGTTCGATAGGATCATCATGCTCATATTCATGCTAACTGGGTTGCTTAACTATGGACTCCATGCACCACTCTTGTGATTTAAAGGACGAAGGATGACATCAATATGGTAAGTACAACAGCTTCTGAACAATCCAGAGAGATCCTATCTTTCATGAATCATTAAATCACAGTCTATTTCGGCAAACCATCTAAGGGGCACAGAGGATGAACCTTTCTCAGCAAATCCTTGTGGTGCTCCTCACTCCTGGGCCTTGATTCAAACCCTGGCGGCGGGAACGGGAAGCACCTCGACATCGTGCCACACGGCCACACCTAGTAGATGTACAATGAGACTGAAGAATCCCCAGCACGGCAGTTTAACCAGATCTCCAGACACGCACCCCGGATCCCTCTCGTCCACCATATACCAATTGGTATCGCCTTGGCCGAAGCCGGTGCAGAGCGCACCACCACCGCACCAGACACTGGAATCAACTCCTGATGTGTGCACTGCAACGGGTAATCAATCAAAACGATCCAACTGCCAAATCAGCTCCAGCTCTCTTGCTGGTCCAGAACCCAGGTACTGTATAATAACACTCAGGAGCAGTTAGTGCAGTCCTCTTCCATCCGCTCACTCCCCGCCGCCGATCCCCACCCAGAGCCACAGCAGGTGGAACGACAGCCCGGGCCCCGTACCCCGACCGGAAGCAGCAGCCTCGTCGTATGCTCCGGCTCCGGCTCCGCTCCGGCTCCGGAGACGCAGCGCATCCACGCTGAACCTAGCCCAGACCCAGACCCAGACCCAGCCGCTCGCTGTCGTGCACTGCAGTCTGCTGAGGCTTCCAGAGAGTAAGCAGAAGAACTGTAGAACTAGCCGTGGGGCCTTCCGCGGCAGCTTCCCCTCCCGATCTCGGACCAAACTGACGCTAACCGCTCAGATTCGGTGAGGAGCGGAACACCAAAGTCCGGGGCCAACGGCAACAGCAACAGCAACAGGTTTCCGCGCGAGCAGATCGGACAACGGCGCGATGATCCCAACGGCGGCGCGGCGCTCAGGCTCAGCCCGCCGGTTGCGGGGAGGCTCGTGGTTCGTGAGGAGGAGGGCTGGCTGGCTGGCTTTGCTGATGATGCTCTCTGATCTCTCGCTCGTACTCGGATGCTCCGGTACTGTGACTGCTTTCGCCGCGCCGCACCGCATCCACCCCAAAGGCGGCGTGCGCATGCGCAACATTGGCCCATTCCGGTGACACGCGTCGGGCTGCCACTGCGCCCCCGATATTTTTTTTAGCCCTTTTAAAAAAATCATAAATATGCCTCTAAAGGTATGATTTCAAAATCTGAACCCTTATCTTGGCGCCAGCTTACACTTCTCGGCGCCATCGTTGCAGGCGCCGAGGTCAGGGTCATGTTGGCGGCGTGGACGCTGACATGGCAGCCAGCTCGGCGCCGAGCTCGGCGCCAACAATCCTGGCGCCAAGCCATCTCTTACGTATGGGTCCTCCCTTTCTTTCTTTCTTCCTCTCTCTTTCTCTCTACTGAGCCGTCGTCACCGCTGCCTTACCGCGCGCCCGCCGCCGCCGCGCGTTGCCCCGGACGTCCCGCCCGCGCCGGCCACCGCGCCCCTCACCCCCACGCCCGCGCCCTCGGTGGCCGTCCCCGTCCTGTAAGTGCAATCAAGCCCTATTGTGGGTTTTGGTATTGATGACCACTAAATTAGAGAACTAATGAGATTTATCGAGATGACAAGCAGGGAATCGGAAAATGAGGATGATGTACAGGTTGCAGATGTCCTAATTATAAAAGGTGGCTGGACCTAGCTCAAAGGAGGTTTAAATTCTTTTATGTTTTAAAATTGAGTTTAGAAAAAGCCGTACTATTAAGAGTGATTTTAGGACAGTTGGTCAACTGTTGAACGAGATGCTCAAATTCTCATATTTACATTATCTCACCTAGTCAAAACAGCCAGCCAAATTTCATATCAACTTACTTGTTTTGGACCCAAGGGGTATTTATACCCTTCAGGCCTGGCCCACAACGGTCATCTTCTTTACTGAGTCATTCTGCTCGAAACAAGACAGAACCAAAGCTCACCTCTCTCCTCCATTGTTGCTCCTCTATCCCTCAAGCTAATCCTTGATTCCAAACATCAAAACTTGAGAGAAAAGGCAGCAAAACTCGATTCGAGAGAAGATCCACTGATTCCCAAAGTTTAAGAGCATTTGGTTCACGTTTGATCGGCAGTTTTAGGGTTTGTTACTCTTGAAGCTGGCTCCTAACCGGCTAGGCGTCGCCCTTGTGCTTGCCAACTTGTGTGGCAGCCTTGGGAGGTTTGTAACCTCATTCAAAAGCTAAGGAATCACCTTTCACTTTAAGAGTTCACTCTCTTGATTTGAGAACGAGGGTAAGGCAAGCCTTTGTGGCAAGCTTAAGCCTTTTGTGGCTTCCTCAACAATGTGAACTTAGGTAAACATTTGTGGTGAGCTGAACCACGGAATAAATCTTGTGTCCCGCGTGCTTCATCTTGTTTACTTGCTGGTTTACCTTACTGCTAGCTGTTGTTAGGGTTTAGTTGCTCGATCCACTTTTGTGTGGAGTTTCTGTGGTATTCAGTCTTCAAACTGGATCTTGTCTTTCTATTGCAGGATTAAGCAGCTAGTGGGGTCAGGTTCATCTCTATAAAATCTCAACTGTGTTAGATTTATTTTCGTAGAGCGGCAGTGCCGCCCTAAAAGACCGGCAGTGCCGCCCTCTATTCTAACAGAGTTTTGAGTTGAATTTTTACAGGCCTATTCACCCCACTCTAGGCCTCCTTTATCTTCCTGTAGATCCTACACGCCTGCGCCGGCCCAGCGCCCACGCCCTCGGCGACCGAGCAACGATTTATTACTTCACTTACATAGTACACCTATAATATCTAGACTTTTCAGTAACAACGAATGAATCTAGACTTTTCAGACAATGACAATAGACTTTTCAGTTACAAGGACAAGGAGTACGATGATAGCAGCGATTTATCACTTCACTTACATAGTACACCTATAGCATCTAGGCTTTTCAGTGATTTATCATGTCAACGACGAATGAACTTTTCAGGAAACGAATATAGGTTTTTCAGTGTCCATTGAAATAGGCTCTTCAGTGAAACTAATTAGGCTTCTTGTGACCAGTTATAACACATTAAAACGGCAACTAAACCTGCCATTGCCTATATATACGCAATGATGGATGCATTGCTACTTACTTTCTAACTAGTATTTTCTTTTGTTGCAGTACCAATGTCTGGAGGATCGTCTAGAGGGAGAGAAAAGGGAAAGAGAACTACCATTGTGTGGGTGGGTTGTCTTGATCCCGATTTATTTGAGAAAGCTCTTTATGAGAGGTTCTCAGTTGAGAGCAAAAGTAATTTCACCAAAGAGACACCACTGAGAGGATACGATGAACGAAAAGAAGAGTGGTCAAAATGCATGCATGGTGAGGACTGCCCAGTGAAGATGTTCACCGAGGAAATAGATGGAGGTCATCATTTCTTCAAATGCCCATGAGCATGGGTAATTGCTATTATTATTTGTTTCTTCAATGGCCCCGTTCGCTTCGCTGAAAAAACAAGCCAAAACACTGTTCTGGTTGATTTATTGTGAGAGAAAAATATTGTTCCAGCTGAAAAAACAAGCTGAAAAGTACGGATTATAAGAGAAGCGAACAGGGTCAATATGTTCCTCTTCTATACAATTTACATGACATACTTATTGCAGTCTTTTTGGTCGAAGAAAATTATGGGTTCACTAGGTGGGTCGATCCTCAAACTATATATCCCCATGTGTGGCAGAACCGCCTATTCTCATACCTCCCAGGAGAGCTCATTTTTCATTAGACACTAAGCACTCAAGGGGGACACCAAATTACTCGGTTCCGTCGGGCACACCCCGGGGAGAACCCAAAAATACACATTTTCCATCAGGATCACAAATAAGAGAATAAAGCTTACATTATTCTTAACCATTTCTTACATCTATTTTAATACAACATCAGAGTATAATATTTATCATTATAACAACAGAATGTAATCATATTATCAGAGTTATGAACAATTTAATTGAACAGCGGAATATAAACATATGATCAGAATTATAGCAGAAACAATTATCGATTCATAGCATGATGAAGCATTGATATATAAACTATGACAACAGATTATAAAACTTTCCTATATAAAACATTTTATGAGATTTATAAATAAAAACTATGATCGCAGCGTAAGAAAATCCTCGCTGAGCCCACCAGAAGGTATCCACACACAAGGGTCAGCTCTAGCATCTACCTGTCACCTGCAATAAGGGGGATAAAACCCTGAGTACTCAATTGTACACAGCAAGACTTACCTGACAGGAGGAAAGAAAAGACTCGAAGGATATGTAAGGCTATCTGGCTTATGGGTTTATTGCATTTGCATGAAGCATTACTAAGCGTGCGTCCTTATGTTCATTTTTTATTAATAGCCGCATTGGTTCATTAACTAACCATTCTATGTAAGCACCTGTGCTACTTTCAACCAGGTGGTAAGCAATCAGATTTCCTTTTTCCATCTTCCATCTTTTATCTTTCAGTTCTTATTACGATGCTAAACCGTAGAAAAGCCATACCGGATCGCTGACGATTCGCGAATCAATGCCTCCAGATGGGTACCCCAAAACACACGTCCCACTTGTACCCAAGGCACAAGCAGGACCAACCCATCACCCTCCTGTCCTGGGGTCGTAGCTCCCCGTCCAAACTGGGACTCCAAACCCCCGCCCCTGAGTTCCGGACTTAGTGCGGTGCAAGGACCTCCTCCACAAAAAAGAAACACTGACAGTTTGTTCGAAAAGAGCCGAACCAATGACAAGAGAGCAACAAGTCTTCCAAGCGCCAAATCCAAGTATGTGCTCGGGATAATAAGTTTGTGACTTGCCTAGAGCCTTATGTAACGGTCGGTCCTTAACCGACACAAACAGGGAAAGCAGTGTAACCAAGCCATGCCCCGCGTCCACGGCGACACAACCTTTTACACCATTTTTATTTTCCAAGTGATAATAATTCACTAATATATTTCCTATCTCTCGCGAGTGACAGGCAATCACTCGACTTCTATCGGAGTCTTGTAGCATAGCAATCTACACGATCCTGTCATACTAGTAAGACTCATAGGATAAAGATATATATATGCAAGTGGGTTTCATTCAACTCCTTAAAACTTAATGCACAAATATAATTTAAACTGCAGAAAAGTAGGAGTTATGCATCGGGACTTGCCTGGGTAAGATATATATTAAAAA